AAACTATAAAGTATAGTTAATATGATGGAGAAATAATGAAAAGGTAATGTTAGTAGGGTTGCTAGGAAAGAGAAATAATAAAAAGATAATGTAAAGGCCCTGTTTACTTCACTTTATTTTTGTCGAACTAAAATTATTTTTGCTGAACTTAAATATTTTTACTAAACTGAAATTAATTTGGAAAAATTCGTGGGAATAATCCCACCTTTGGGCTGTTCGTTTTTAATAATTCCACCTTTGGATTATTTTTTTAATAATCCCACCTTTACCCCCCTAATCTTTTTTAATGATCCCAACCGGTCATATAACCTGTTATAACAGGTTACATGACATGTGGCGGCTTGTGATTGGTCAAATTTTTTTTTTATAAAAAGTTAAATTTATTTAAAGAAAAAAATAATAATTACAAACCAACCACCAGCCCAAGCCACCACTCTTCCCAGCCGGAAACCACCATCTCCTTCCCCTACCCGACCGAAAACCACCAAACAAACACCACAGCCCCACCCCCTTCATATAAAACCACCGCAACCCCACTCCCCCTTCACCTGAAACACCACAACCCCAATCCCCCTTCGCCGAAAACACTACAACCCCACTCCCCTCAAAGCAACCATTTTCAACCTTCTCTTCCCCCGAAACCACCGCAACCCCAACTCCCTCTTCGCCGAAAACACCACAGGTCGTCCGATTATGTGGGTCGCCGATTATATGGGGCTTCCAATTTCGAATTAGGCTGAATTTATGCATGTTGTTGCGATTTGTGGGGCTACGAATTTCGATTGATGTTGTGAGCGGTTGTTGATGGTAAGGGGTTAGGTTAGGGTTGTTTCTGGTGAGCGGTTGTTGACGGTGACGGGCTGGGTTAGGGTGGCCATTGGGATTATTTTCGGCCATCACCATCAACACCATTGTTATGGTGGTGGTTCGAGATGGCTAGGTTCGAGGTAGGTGAATTCACGAAGGGGGCTGGGGGTTCGTGGTGGTTGCGTTCGGGTGGGGGGTTTAGGGTGGTGGTTATGGTGGGGATGGGGTTGGGTTGCGAGGTTTGGGGTGGTGGTAATGGTAGGGGTGGCTGGATTCTGGGTGGGGGGTTTTATTTTAATTTTTTTTTTGTTTTTTTTTACCAATTAAGAAACGGCACGTGTAAATTAAACTTTTAAAAAAAAATTACCAACTCAATCGGTTTCAGGTAAAATGGGACCATTAAAAAAAGATCGGGGGGTAAAGGTGGGATTATTAAAAAAAATTCAAAGGTGGGATTATTAAAAACGAACGGCCCAAAGGTGGGATTATTCCCATGAATTTTTGAATTAATTTTACTAAAATGAAATTATTTTTGTTGAAATGAAATTATTTTTATTGATCCTATATTATATATCTTCTTTCAAGTTACTGATTTTTACTTAACTGAATTTATTTTTACTGAATAGAAATTATTATTACTGAACTAAGTTTATTTTTACTAAACTGAAATTATTTTTATTGAATATTATTTTTTAAAGGTGAAGTGATTGAACATGGCCTAAGTGGGGTTGGTAAGAAAGAGATAATAAAATATTTGTGAAAGTGAAATTAGTAGGAGAGAGAAATAATAAAATAATAGTTGGTCGGTGTGCTGGGTGGTGATGTTGGGTTGTTTTGGTGTGCTGAGTGGTGGTGCTGGGTTGTTTTAGTGAGCTGGGTGGTGGTGGGTGGTTTCGGTGTTGCTGGGTGGTGCTAGTGTTGGTGGGATATTTAGTTTAATTTTGGTTGAATTTGTTTTTTCTTTATTTTGGGTTGGTTTAATACTTAAGTATATGCCCTTATTTTTCACTAACTATGCTTAAGATCTTTTGCCTAGGAGTCTGCAAAACTACTCTTTGTTGCGATTAATAAGAACTGGAGGTAGTATATATATAGGTCAATTTAAATAATAAAATAAAGATCACTATGTTAAAATTAGGGTCACTATGTTCAATATAACGTCGTCTGATACATTTGTACTTTAATTCACAACAATGTTAAAGGTTATACAAGTTTCAATATTGTCACTATGTTAAGATTATGGTCAATATGTTCAAAATAACACTAGTTGCGAGCGTATGAATCTTTGGTCCACAATAATGTTATTGTAAACCAGGTCCATACAAGTCTTTTTGAACAGAGGAAGAATTTCCTATACAACTACTCCCATTTATTAAAAAAAAATATATCCATAATCCCAAAGCAACTACTCCCTCCAATTTATTAAATGCATCACTTGTCTTTTATATTTTTTTTTTATAATCATTTTTATATGTGGAAACTTCATACCATATTTTATCATTTTTATCTCTTAATTTAAACCTCACTAAAGTTATTTTATCACTTCTCTCTCTCACAGTCCTCACTTAAATAATGAAAAAAAAATCTACTCTAGCTATCTCTCACATACTTTTCATTTATGATCTCCATTTCACTTTTAGTATACTCCATCCGTATTTTATAACCTGCTTCAATTCTTCGGACACAGAGTCTTAGGAGGAATAGTAGAAAGTATTTTTTTTATGATGGATGTGGGTTGATTGAAGAATAAAAACAATATTAAAAAAAGAAAAAATCAGTATAAATATGGAGGATGGAGAATCAATCAATCAAAGTCTTAATCCCATAAATAGAGTCGGTTACATGAACCAAAAATGATTAATCCGTGTGGTCATCGACAAAAATCTTCCTCCTCCATCCCCTTACGAAATGAGTATCAGTATGGAGGAGGGGGAATATGAAAAATATTAAAATGTGATTTGAGGAGATCACTAGTGGGGAGGAAAATAGTAAAATACTAGGTTAGTTCCCGTGCCATGCACGGTAATTTTCAATAACTATTATTAAAATATTCGGAAATTTCATGATATACCACTGAGTTTCTTCAAAATTCACCATATACCACACAAGATCTTTTAATTCACCATATACCATTTAGTTTCCGTCTGTTAACACAAAATACCATTAATGACAACTGCCGTTAGTGTGCCGTTTGGGGTAATTTACCAGTATGCCCTTACGCATTCAACTGGCGCCATTGTTAGGGTTGACTTCCCCAAACACAACGTTTGTCTTCAAAAAATTGACCCCCATCTTTCTTCTTTTCCATTCAAGAAACTCTCTGTTCTTCTTCATTGATCTGGAACCCTAAAAATCCATCAAAAATTTGCAAAGTGTCGATTTTGTGAAGTGAATTGCAAGTAGGAAAGAAAATTGGGAACGACGGTTGAACTTAGTGGTTGTTTGACGAGGTTTGTGAGGCAGTGTGGTGGGGGTCGTGACTGAATTTCGCACAAATTTCGCTAATTCGGTGGATTAAGCATACGCAAGGTATTACTATCCTTATCCATTTGCATTTCGAGTTCTGATTTTGTTGTTTTTTTGCAAAATTGAGTTAGGGTTAAGGTTTGGTGGAAATTGATCATATGTGTCAGTTTGTTTGCTATGAAATTTGAATGTGAATTATATGAAAGTTAAGTGTGATGTGTTGCATGCGAATTTGAATTATGCTAAAATGATGGGTTTTTGTTTTGTATACGATTTATAGTTTTGATTGTGATGTAATGTGTTGTTGGTAAATGTTGTTGTTAGGATGAGTGCAATGTGGTTGTTAGTTCGTGCTCCAGGGGGTACTTTTGATGTGAGGGTGGATGACACTGATAAGATCAATTTGATGGAATTGATTGAGTATATGTTTGAGGATTCAGTGAAACAGAACGTATATCTCCCTAAATACTTCACCCTATTTGTGAGTAAACCTAGAACAAATCGTAAGTTAGAGTTAATTGATGATGGGGCAATGTTGAAAATGTGGGAGTGGAATGAAGGGAAGGATGAAATTGAAGTGTTTATAGAAGAGACAGAAACACCATCTCTTGTGTTTCAGTCTGCAGAAGCTAGTTGGGCAAAAACTTTGAAGAACAGGGCTGAAAATATTAGGCTAATGGAGGAAGAGAATAGAAGGAAAGTAGAGGAAGTAGAAGCTGAGGAGCAGCTTTTGGCCCAGCAGGCATATACTGTGGCTATAGAGGTCCCTGTTTTGGATGCTGATGATGATGGGATTGAATATGTAAGAGTGTTTGCTACCCCAGCAGCTGATAAGGTGTTTCCAGGGGATTCACAACCTCAACCCTCACAACCTCAACCCTCACAAACAAAAACATCTCAACCAAAAAACCCTCCAAGAAGAAAAAAGCTTACTCCAAAGAAGAAGAAAAAACCCCTGGACAGTCAACTCAACACAGACAGTCCACACCTCCATCACCCAATGTTCCCTAACAGCAGCCTTCCCCACCACAAACACCAACAGACCAACCCAGGCAGCCTACACCCCCTTCACCACAAACACCAACAGACCAACCCAGGCAGCCTACACCCCCTCCACCACAAACACCAACAGACCAACCCAGGCAACCTACCCCCCTACAGCACAACCATCACACCCAACAGCTAGAAGGCCTAGGAAACCAACCCAGCCCAAAGCACAAACCAGGCTTAAACCCAAAGAATGGAGGGTGCCTAGAAGCATTGCTGTTAAGTTTGGCCTTGATGTTGGTAAGAAAACTGCAGCAGGGAGGCAAATCAACACTTGGAGCAAAAAAAAATTGGTGGTTGAAGAAATTGATGTTGAGTCTCATGGTTGGACTTCTAGTGATAGTGAAGATGGTGATTATGAAGCTTCTGATGTTGAGGCTGATTCTGATATGGAGTTGGACATTGAGGATGAGTACATTGTGAGAGAAGAAGATGTTCCTGATAATATACATGAGAAGACCTTTGAGGATTACTTAGATGGGTCTCATGTGTTAGACAAAATGTACAAAAATGGTAGAATCTGGTCTCACTCACCATTTGGATCCATTGTTCTTGAGGAGTGGTTGATTTTTGAAACCAAAACATAGTTTCTAGAGTTATTCAGAGATTACTGCATACAAGAGGGCTTCTCTGTTTCAGTTGACTATACTAACAGTAAGAGGTACGTAGCAAGGTGTTTGATGAGGGATTGCACTTGGAGGATTCATGCTTCAATTCTAAGAGACAAAGTCAGTTGGGCCATAAAGAAGCTAAAAGGAGAGCATGCAACTTGTGGGAGGCTGGAAGAGAATCCTATGGTCTCTTCAGCATGGCTATGCAGACATTTGCTTCAAGGCTTAGAGGCAAACCCAGATGTCCTAGTTGAGTCATTGCAGAGGTTGTGCATGGAAAGGTACAGGATCCATGTGAAGTTAAGATTTTTACACAAAGTGAGGAGTTTAGGCAGGGAGCAATTACATAGTGGGTTTGCTGAGTCCTACGCAGCTCTTCCAAAGTATGCTGAAATGATAAAGTCCACAAATCCTGGGTCATATGCCCTTATTACATGGACTAGCAGTGGGGATCAAAGTTTGAAATTCAAGGCATGTTTCATATCTTTTGCAGCTCAAGTTAGAGGATTTTTAGGGGGTTGTAGACCTATCATAGGAATAGATGGTGCACATTTAAGTGGGTATTACAAAGGGATTATGCTCACTGTAGTTGCAATTGATGGGAATAATGAGATCTTTGTGTTAGCATATGGGATTGTTGACACATAGAGCATAGATTCCTGGACTTATTTCTTCAGAAACTTGAGGTGCCTGTTTGCTCAGTATGGATCTCAGAAGGATGACTGGACTTTTATCAGTGACAGGATGAGGGTAAGTTTCTTCTTTGTCTTTAATTTGTGATTATGAAGCTGTTTACTAACTACTCTACTTTTTTTTAGGGGGTTGAATCAGCATTGTTTGAGGTGTTCCCAAGAGCTACAAGGAGAGTATGCTGCCAGCATTTGTACTCAAATTGCAAGGCTGCAGGATGGAGTGGGACAAAATTTCATAAGTTGTTTTGGATTGCTGCAAATGCCTACAATGAGTATGTCTTTGGAAAGCAATGTCCAAGATAAAAGAGTATGATGCAGAAGCATTTGATTATCTGACAAAGGTTGAAGAGCAATGGAGTGTGCACATGTTTGATAGGATAGTTTGTTGTGATCATAACACAACAAACTTCGTAGAGTCATTCAATGCCATAACAAAGGCCAACAAGGACATGCCTCTGTTGACATTGCTGGAAGGTAAATTTGGTTCTCTGTTTTGCTCATTTCAATGCCATAAAATTGTTGTTGCTTACTGGGACTTTTTTCTTTTGGAATAATTAAGTTGTCAGGAATTGGTGCATGAAAAGGATGGGTTCCAGGTTTGATAAAGCAGTGGACATGGAACCTAATGAGCTGACAGAGCATGCAAAGGGGGTGTTGGAAACTAGGATTGATGAGTCTAGGTTCTGCCATGTCACTGCAGTTGGTGGTGGAGAGTTTGAGGTGAGGGATGGCCATGTCAAGTTCCCTGTCACCCTTGGAAATATGACTTGTGGGTGTGGGAAATGGCAAGGATCAGGGATCCCATGCAAGCATGGTCTTAGGGTCATTTACAACCAGAGACTTGATCCTAGGGACTTTGTGTCTCCTTTCTACAAGGGGGATGCATATAAACAGACTTATGGAGACCACATCCACCCCATGGCTGATCCAACTCACTGGCCTTCACTTGATGTGCCAGAAATTTGCACCTCCCCAAGGGAAAAGAAATGCAGGCAGACCACCTAAGCAAAGAAGAAGAGCTGCTCATGAAGAAAAAAAAAAGGGAAGAGGCACAAGAACAACAAATGCAGCCTGTGCAAAGAACTAGGACACAATGCAGTGACATGCAAGGCAAGAAAGGCAACAGCAAAGAAGGCAGAACATGCAGCTTCCTTTTCACAACAACCCAACACAAGGGGGAAGAAGAGAAAGGCTGCTACTTAGCATTGTTGAAGCTAGTTGTGAAGTGTAATTTTTTGGTGAACACAACTCAGTGCCCTGTGTTTTTGAACAAAATGTTGAAGCTAGTTGTGAAGTGTAATTTTTTGCTACTACTTGGTTTATATGGCACTTCTTATTTAATGTATGTAATGCTAGTACTCAACAATTATGTTGGCATATTTTTTTGACAAACAATGTTACCAATTTAAGTACAACTTATTTAAAATACGAAATATTTTGTCTTACATTTTTCATTTCAAGGCTAGAAATACAATAAACACAAACAAAATTGCTCCTATTTTAATTGCTCCATTCACTATCTTTTGTTGTTTTGCTACTTTTTTCTTTAGCTCCTTCAACTCATGCTTCAACACGGCCTCACTTCCATGCGTGTTATTCCCTCCCCTACTTTGATTTTCATAACCCCACGAGACATTTTCATCAACATTGCCCTTGCACCATCTGAATGTATCACAAACATCACACTTGTAGTACAACCTTTGTGGATTTTTTGCCGAATCGGAGCTTCTTATTGCAAACTTCCTACCACAAGAACATGCTTTGTTTGGCACCCTTACATACGATGAATTAAAAGAATACGACGATGATGATGATCTTGAGTTTGTTGACATCTTTGCAAATGCTTTTAGAGGTTAGAGGTGTGCCTTGGTACGTGACTCCTTCAAAAATCACATATATATGCACAAACTAGCCGTTACACTCTTCCAACGGCTATATTTTTTAAAAAATGGTATTTCATGCAAAATAAAAAAAAGTAATGGTATATGGTGAATTAAGAAATTACCCCAAACGGCACACTAACGGCAGTTGTCATTAATGGTATTCTGTGCTAACGGATGGAAACTGAATGGTATATGGTGAATTAAAATATCTTGTGTGGTATATGGTGAATTTTGAAGAAACTCAGTGGTATATCATGAAATTTCCGTAAAATATTATTATAATTAGTTTTTTATAAACAAAAATATTTAAAAATATAGTTGACAAATTTCAATCAAAATAAAGGATTACGAAAGATATGTTAGATATAAAGTGACGTAGAAAATTATCAAAATTATGTTAAGAATATTTTTTATACTTTGTAGCTATACAAATATTTGTATTAAAGATATGTCAAATCTTTTTTATTTTAAGCAATTAAATTTTATAAAATTAGAAACTATTTTAGTATAAGATTTATTTTTTTATATAATTTTATTCAAAAAAAAAAACTAAACTAAGGACACACCAGAAGATGACACGTGTCATTGTTGGTGTGTCTTTTAGTATTAAAGATTAAAGATATGTCAAATATTTTTTATTTTAAGTAATTATATTTTATAAGATTAGAAACTATTTTAGTATAAGATTTGTTTTTTTTAATAGAATTATATTAAAAAAAAACCTAAACTAAGGACACACCAGAAGATGACACGTGTCATTGCTGGTGTGTCTTTTAATATTAAAGATTAAAGATATGTCAAATATTTTTTATTTTAAGTAATTATATTTTATAAGATTAGAAACTATTTTAGTATAAGATTTGTTTTTTTTAATAGAATTATATTAATAATATATATATATATATATATAAAACCTAAACTAAGGACACACCAAAAGATGACACGTGTCATTACTGGTGTGTCTTTTAGTATATAGTTATTAATTGTCAAAACTTTTCCGAAAAAAAGAAATGAAACAAGTAAGGAAAATTGGTTTTAATAATCCCAACTTTGACCGATTTACTTTAAATAATCCCAACTTTTGATTATTCTAGATTAATCCCAACTTATATAAGAATTTCCTAAAATATTCCAAAGTGTTATATTTGTTGCTTTTGTTAATCCCTTTTGGGACTATTATGTATAACAAAAATAAAATTTTGGATTATTATAAGAAGATACCTATATAAGTTGGGATTAATCTGGAATAATTAAAAGTTGAGATTATTTAAAGTAAATCGGTCAAAGTTAGGATTATTAAAACTAAATAAGATACGATCTTAAAAGGAAAGTTGAGCAAGTACTAAAATATGGAGGAAATATCAAATTATTCATCAACTTACAATATTAAATTACTCTCACCATGCAATCCCAAGTGATGCATTATAAAAAACGAAAGGAGTACTACCTCCATTTCATATTCTCATAAACAGTGGTAATATTTTCATTTACCAAATATTTAATTACTTCCAAAGTAAATATTTACCCCCTCCGTCCCTTTATTTTTGCTCCATTGTCATTTCTTGAGTCAAACATTGAAAACTTTGACCATAAATTACCGTTTATCCATAAAAGATAATATAGTCACGAGTGGTCTTGTTAGATTCGTTTCATTGTATATTTTATTGATATTACTTTTATTTATAATTTTTATGTGTACGAAAAAAAAGATATAGACATTTTAAGAAGTGTCTTAGAGACCGTGCACAGTCAAATGAGGCAAAAAAATAGGTGAATCGCTAAACATCGCCCGCAAATTACCATATAAAGCCCACAAATATGACTTGGTGTGACCATTATGCCCATTTTCTAAAATTGAAATAATCTCGGTTTAAAAAATGTGGAGCCGTACTGGCTCGCCGGGGGAGACCGGAGGGCAGGCCGGAGATGCGGGGGACGCCGGAGGTAAGTCACCGTTAAAATTCACGGTTTACCGTCGGAGTGGCTCCGGCGCCTAGGATGGACGCCCAAACCGTAGCCTGGACGTCCAAGCCAGACGCCAGAACCACCAGACTGGCGTCCTGGCCAGGCGCCACTCTACTGGCTGAGGCGGCCCTGCCAAGCGCCAGTCCAGTGGCTGTGGCAGCCCTAGCAGACGCCACCCTTATATATTATTTTTTTTTTCTTTTTTGATTTTGTTGTTGTTTTTTATTTATTTATTTTTTTTAAAAAAAAATCGAAAATGATTTTTTAAAAAAATTCGAAATGGGTTTATTTTAAATTAATTTTGAAAATTCGAAATAGGTTTTTTTAAAATGAAGTTTGAAAATTCGAAATGGTATATTTTTAAATTTAACTTGAAAATTCGAATTGGGTTTTTATAAAAATTAAGTTTGATTATGCATAATTATGCTTTTTTTTGTGTTAATTCTGTGTAAATATAGAAATTAAATGTATTATCCGTTAAATGTATTTATTGTAATATATAATTGATGCAGGATTATGGTGGAGACGGAAATGATTATAGTGGGATATTTGGACATGATGGTCCATTCGAAGAAGCTCAACAGGCGATTGATTGGGCAAAACAGGTTGCAATTGCAGCTGGATTTTGCTTGGTAGTAGTAACTCATAAATCTCAACGGGATGGTAGAATGGATCGCATTTTGAGATGTGACCGTTATCGCAAAAGAGAAGAAAGAGATTTTCGTACAGCCACTCGGTTTGATACAAAGCGGAAAGGTTGTGGGTGTGAGTTCAGAGTAAAGGTTCGACAACTACGGAGTCGTGACGGTTGGGAAGTGATTGGTTACTCTAAATGGGGGTATCACAACCATGAGATGATAGTATATGAAGAGGGTCATCGACAGCTGAGCGGCTTAAGTCCTGCTGCGAAACTAGTTGTGAAAGAAATGAGTGATGCTCAAGTCAAGCCAGCGACTGTGAGGGAGGTCTCTTTGCCTCCATAGCAGAGCTGTTTCCAGAATCGAACCACTTATTGTGCACATGGCACATCAACAACTGCGTGAAAGTGAACGCCTACAACCTTTTCAACAAGAATTTGGAAATGGTAGAGAGATTGGTGAATGGTAAGTGGCGGAAGATCCTACAGACTACCATAGAGGAAGCGTATGAGCGAGCATTGGCTAACTTCAGGGATTCGTACCAGTGGTGTCCGGCACTGGTGGACTATGTGATGCAGCAATGGGTCCCTCACAGGGAAAAGTTTGTCAAATATTGGACAAACCAGGTACTTCATTTCGGGAACACTACAACATGTAGAGTTGAGAGCGCTCATAGAGCTACCAAGGACTGGATTGATTCATCGACCGCTGCTTTGGATACACTGTTCGATAGACTTAACAAGTCAATTGAAACTCAGAAGAACGGCATCAGGAACTCTCTAGAGGACTCCAGACGACGACATGGTACGATTTATAGCCATTTTATATTTAAGATTCTCCGTGGTCGTGTGTCGCACTACTGCTTGGGGTTGATTCTCACTGAGCTGAACAGGATGAGGGACTTGGCTGACGAAGTGTATGCTCGGTGTGGGTGTGCTATTTCAGTAACTCATGGATTACCTTGCGCATGCACCATTCACCGCGTTATTACAGAAGAAAGGGCGTCGTTACATGTTGATCAGGTCCATTCATTCTGGAGGACGCTTGTTATTGGTGAGCATGCAGACACTCAAACGGCCGACCGTGAACAGGAGGAGTTGGAGCAGTTTCGTTCGATGTACGACCGAGTGTCCTCCAGCCATCCTTCTATTATTCGTGACGCTACTCATGTACTTCATACATGTTCCACACGTCTACCTTTGATTATGAGGAACCCGAAGGAGTTGACCGTCCTCGAGGTCGACAACGGCAAAACAGGAGTGCGTTTGAGTATATCCGTGGTCTTGGTCGTGGTCGTGCTCGTGGTTGGACATCGTCATCTAGTCATAGTCAATCTTCATCGTCTGTGAATATGCCCCTGAGAACTGGTACGTTTTGGTTGTTTACATTGCACATAGTTTTAAAGTGTTACTCCTGCCTTCTTAACTGTCTATAATTATATGGTGAATAGGAAGAAACGATGTTGATCAGTTTCTGTACAAGGAAAGGATACCTGCGATCATCATGCCGTACTTGGAAG